GTCTGTGGGGTGTGGGTGGGGGGGGGGGGCAGACACAGGGGCCACCGCCTTGGCCATGGCTGCCGCAGGGCACCCCGGAGCACCCCCTCTTTCTCCTGCACTGGCCCCTCTGCGCTGCGTCCACACTCCCCGGGTGCCCTGGGTAGGCGGTACTGCCCCCAGGTGGCCAGCTCCTTCAGCGCCCGCGGTCCCTGCCTGGTCCCTCGTGGACTCCCGGCCACGGCCGCTTCAGGACTGGACAGAGAAGGGGGGGTCTCAGGAGGCTGGGGCCGGGGCTGGCAGGGAGCTGAGCCTTCACTCAGCCCCGAGAGCTCGGGCCCCGGGGGCTGTTGGGGGAACAGAATGGGCTGTTCAGGAGGTTGCTCCCACTTTTGGCCCGAGAAGCCCGCTGCTGGGGCTTCCTGAGGGGGCCCTTGGAGGGGAGAGGCTGGGCCGAGAGGGAAGAGGAGGGCATGAGATGCTGCCCAGCTCGGGGTGGGCTAGGCAGCCAGGGACCCCAGCCCGGACCCGGCAGGAGGAGCCCCGGGGCCCTGGGGGACACAGGACAGGACAGGCAGCACCCCTGGGATCCTGTGCTGCGCCTCCGGAATGTGTCCCCCACAGGCTACAGCCCACAGCCCAGGGTTGAGGCCGGGACCCCGCCCCCTCCGCCCTTTCCTCCCCCTGCAGCCACGTCCTTCCGCCCCACACCGGCGGTCACCCCCAGACTTGGGGCTGTGTCCCCCACAGGCTACAGCCCACAGCCCAGGGTTGAGGCCGGGACCCCGCCCCCTCCGCCCTTTCCTCCCCCTGCAGCCACGTCCTTCCGCCCCACACCGGCGGTCACCCCCAGACTTGCCAACAGGTCCCTTGAGGTCCAGGTCTTCACCCTCCTCAGCACCCACGGCAGCCCAGGTGGCTCCACTGGGACTCCCTCGGGCCACCGCCTGGCATGCCAGGGAGCCAGGGTGCCCGGGCTGGCCGTGGCCTGGGAGGTCAGCGGGTGACCTGACCGCACCAAGGCCTGGCCAGCCTGCCGGCCACTGGGCCTAGCCCATCTGTACCTTAACTCCTGTGCTAGCAAGCATATGTGTTAAAAGATCAATATGGAGTCTTTTTTCTTTGGACTCAGTATGGCACATCTTCTCAATCTAAGGTCCGTACTATCCACCTTCTTACCCTACTTACCCTCTAGAGGGGGGTCTGCAGCACCCTGGTGGAGTCCTATCCGTCCCAAGTGCGGGGGGGCTTACCTAAGGGTCCCTGTTCGGGCGCCATATGTTGGGGTTCAGCCCCAGCAGGTCCATGGGTTCCCAAAGGTGTGGATGGAGTCTGCGAAGAAGGAAGGACACGGCGGCAGCGTTCAGGTGATCATCATTGCTAGGTGGTCCCTTTATTGTCCTGTTACATCTATATTTATACCATTTGATCCCATAAGCGTGCCTCTATAATCACATCATGGTATGTTTTGGGTAACGTTCTACAGTTCCTTGTTTCTTATCTGACCTTTGCCAAATATCCGGTCTCTATCTAGTTCTATTGATTTTAATCTTGTCTAGGTTAATCTCTGTGTTCCATCACAAGGGCTATTCCAAGGTCACTATTCTTCTGCTCTACTGATAGGCTACAAGGAAGTGACTGAAGGAAATTATCCTACCCAGTAAAGGTTATGTCCTCCCAGCCCCGCTGCTTGCCTTCCCTGGGACTGCCCTGTGTTGGTGGGTCTCCAGGGGTATAGGCTTTGGTGCTTTCCCTGGTGGGCAGACCCCTGGGGATG